TGTATGTAATATGGGTCTATTGTCCCCAAATTGGGTCTATTTATGGATGCAACTTCGTCCTATCTTGTTTGATCCTCAAAAAAACGCTCTTGGTAACGTTTTCTGATGTATTTTTTTTATCACTATCACTGTTAACTTAATGCTCTTCATTCCTCAAAACATTTCTTAGAGAAAATTTTACGAAAACTACATTAAATCACTCAATTTAAAAATTAAAAATTAAAAATTTCGCTTATCGTCTTTTGACCGCAGAATATCTAAATCAGAACATTGTGATGTTCATTATACAGGTTTGGCAGAAAAAATCTCCCTTCCTGTTCGTTCCTTATCATCCAAATGCAAAACAACATTGTTGACGTTACTCTTATTGCTATATGCTGTCAAATGAATTTCATGGGCCATAGTTAGGAACATAGAAAAGAAATGTGTTCCTAAAGTTGGGTCCATGTTTTACTTGTGAAAACGTTGTTAAACAATTAAAATAAACATAAAATATTCAAACAGCAACTGTAAGTTTTACGTCTAGTGTGTATTATCAGGTAATTCCAATCAATAAATGCCATAATCAGGCCATTTGATGATCGTCAGTCAACCTTCCCATCTTAACCTTATAAGTCATGGCGGCTAAAAACTCCGAACATTGTGATATTCTCAACCAGTTTTATTACTTACGAGAGCTGAAAATGTATTGAAATGTTGTGATATAAATTGATTTGTGTGTGGTACACATTTATCAACCATCAGTGATCAATATTTTCCTTATTTTTTGTGTAATATTCCTTAATTAATTATTTATTTGCGTGATAGGCCGAATGAAAGGACTAGACCCACATTACATACCGTAACCCTAGTTCCTTAAAAATACATAATTCCATAAAAGTAAACATAGTGTATTGTCAATAGTAAAAAAAAGAAAAGTGAAAATTACTAATTTCATCATCTTTTCTGGGGAATGGTACATTCTGGTGAATGGTACATTCTGGGGAATGGTTTTCTGGGGAATGTTATAGAACCCACGTAACTGTTACTAAAAGAATTTATGTTTCTATTTCACATGATTCCTGAATGTTATTTTCTAGCGAAAACCTGTCAAAACGTTAACTTTTACTAGGGTGCTCATATTGCCCCCTATGGTTGTTGATCGGAGCAAACACTGATTTTTTTTTTATTTTTTCTTTATTTTTGTGATTTTTAGCCGTAGGCTAGTTCATCACATGGCAAACACTGAAATTTTGCAAACATAATAATTTAATGAGTCTATTATATTTTATTCCCTCCCCTTGGCTAGTTTTTGCACCTTTCTGTTGGTGGGCGGGCTTAATTTCATGCTAGTGGAGTGTTGGAGACGGTGGGTTTATGGTCGGCGTTGCCGGCTCATGCCGCGATAGAATGGCGTCATGGGCAGGCAATGGGGATTACTAAGCTTCCCCTCTCTGATAAACCACTGCATGAGAGAACCAAAGATCTAGTCTAGCAGTGATAGCACAGACAAACAGACATAACACTTGCAAGTTGTTCATCGAACAAGCATTTAACGGACAATTTAAAAGTATCGTAGTTGGTAGTAACGCCACCTGTGGCGCACATAGTCAATTCCCTTACGTTTGACGTTTACACACTACCGCCATCTGTTATGCGTACTACCCACCACAGTGTATTCAACAGATGGCGGTAATGTTTTTGCGACGATGTTTTACAGTGAGAAATATTCAATGAGTTATGTCTGTTTGTCTGTGGTGATAGTATTACACTTGTTACTCCTTTAAAAGAGAGCCGCGTCTTAGTACGCTTACGTATAGGCACTGACGTTGGGTGTGATACTGGCGGGATTTGCCGCAAATCACTCTTATTTTATTTATTTTTACGCAGATAGATTCATTTGGGTTTGCAAGGGAATTAAACTATTGAAATATTTCAGAAAGTGCCCAACGGTGCTCCTTCTATTTGCGTGACAAGCTTTCATTGTTGTTTTCATTGAAGTATTACTCAGGAAACAATGTTAAACATCATTTTTGTACATGATATTGTAACTAATCTTATATGTGCTTCATTTTGATTTGGGATAAGTGTTTGAACTGTGGCTCGGGATTTCCACTGTTTGCGTTTGCACTACGCATGAAAATGTCAATTTAATTCTACATAGCTTAAAAAAATACAATGTCTTGAATGATCTAAAAACATTAACGAATAGATTACTTTGCGAAAATAAGACAACTCATTGCCATCTACGAAGATGTAAAAACTGCCCAGATACCTCAGTTTTAAAAGACAGTTTATTGAAACAACTGGAAGAAAACTTTGTTGAAAAGCTTTCATTCGAACAATGGGTTACCACTGACAGATGTGATTTAGAAACTATTGTAAAGCAAACCGATGACAATGATGCCAAAATATTCAATATTGTTAAGAAAGTTGTGTAAACAATAATTTTATAAAAATACAGGAATAAAAATAAACTGATGATATCCAACATATAATGTTATTTTTTATTGCGCACAATCACCATCCCTGAAAAATAAGCTTAATTCGCTCTTTTGAATCTTGCTAATTGAGGAGCTTACATTTGCAGTTCTCAAAAAGGTGTATCTCGAAATCGAGTTGTCTCATCGGTTTGATGTCTGTGGCGATGTTCGGCAATAGAGAGAAAATATGCACAGTATAAACACATCCAGTTTAAATGGATTAAACTGTTAGGCGATATGCAAGAGTTGAATGCACATTTTCAGCACAACGCACCAAAAATCATTTGAAGAAATCATTGTTCCTGATAGTGGGATTTTGTAACTTGTTTTTCAAAATACTTTTAAGGCAGAGAATTTCACTCGAACCTTTAAGCTGTCAGTGTCATTTTAACTCAAAATTTTCCAATCTTTCCGAAAAAAATACTTTTGAAACTGGAAAAACACGGAGTACATCCGAAAAGGGCCAAAACTTATTAAGTTATCAAAAAAAAAAACAATATTAAATCAGTAATATCTTCTAAACGGTGCATCTTAGAAAAATGTTACCGAAGTACTTTTTGTTTGCAAATTTGATGTACTTTCATAAAATTAGGGGGACAAACTTTTTTGACTTTTCTTAATAGCTTTTTTGAAAATTGTATTTTTTTAAAAAACAATTTTTTTCATTGTAACCTATTTTTCTCCAGAACAACCTACTGTGTACTAGATAGCATTTTCAGTCAGCTATAACATAAGGATAATAAAAAAATTATTGACATGTCACTTTAAAGGGAAAATTTATATTTTAGTTCAAAACACAAATACCAAACTTTTTTTTACCGTGCATATTTTCTCCATATAACACCAACAATTGTCTAAAACTTCGCCCAAGACACCAAACCAATCGGACAAACCGTTTCCGAGATACAATTTTTTGAAGATATCATGTGCATTTTTCATAGGCCCTTCTCATAAGTAAGGCTAGATTCAAAATGGCGAACCAAGTATGCAAAACGGCGTTTTTCTTCCCCAAAAACTTGTATGCAAGGTTTCATGCAAATCAAAAAATACAAAAAATAAAAACTGGAAAAATTTCCCACTTGTTCGTGGAACCGCTCAATAGCAAAAAAATAGGTTGAAATGGTCCAATGAATGGCAGTGTGCCTTTCTCTTTTGTAGTTAGTTTAAAAAGTTAGAGATCTCTATTTTGTCCAGCAGCAATCAATTTGATTTTGATTTTGCGAGACAGAAGGGGGTCTTATGAAGGCCAGATCTCAAGTCTCAAGGCCAAATTCCAGAACTTGAGTGGAACATGGTTCTCACGTCAGACTATAATGTCTAAAATGAACCACATGCCCCAACCAACCCCTAGAACGGCTCCTATACACTCTCCATGCTGAATCGTGAGTCCCCCCTTTTCCCATATCATTACATGCAAAATAATAACCCGATACAGGTCAATTGAATATGCCTAATTGAATTAGTTGCAATGATAGTGTTAACAGTAATGACAGTATAATATAGTAATTTAATAAAATGAATATTTACCTGTTAATAATGATCGAGGTTAGTTTCGGGGTCATGTTAGTGTTAGAGTTTTGTTAGTATTGACCCTTATTCAGCCCTGTCGGCCCCTCGAACACTAGTCGCAGGCAGTTGTTGTTAGGACATGCGACACTGTCACTGCTACTATGTTAGAGGTATGACCCGTCAAGTTTCGAAGTGCAAAAAAAAAAAAAAAAACTGTTAGAACTTTCTTATAAATTAATTTTACACTCAAAGCAAACTATTTACCTTAGCATTACAAAATATTAAAATTATGATAAAACTACAATTTACGGCTCCGTGAAATTAACTCGCATGAACCTTTCAAATCAATGAACTGGAGAAAAACTACAATTTTATCAAATTGCAAAAAAAAAAAATCATAGCGACACTTGACAAATCATCATCAAGCCCCTCATCCTTGGACAGGGTATTTTGTCCAGCAGCAATCAATTCATACTTTTAAGCGGTGATACTCTAAGCTTAGAATCAAACTTCAAGAGCACAAATGTCAGCTCCTACAAAATATACAAATATTAAATTACTACTCCTTGCTTGCTGTGTTACAACACACACAGAGTAGTAATTTCATAATTGTATGTTTTGTGGAAGCTGACATTTGTGCTTTTGAAGTTTCACGCTAAGAGTATCACCGTAACTAGGTAGGTTACAAGCTCAAGACATTTTTACGCATTAAATCCCCTAACGTAAATTTGTGTCTTTCGAGACTACATGCTTTAAAATCGAAAATTATCAATGTCTTCAAATGATAAAATTCCTGTCAGGAATAACTGACCACATCATTATCTTACAAGGAAAATAAATTAATCTTTCCGAAAGCGCCATAATGACAAAGAATACAATTCATAAAGAAATGTTTATGCAGGCGCCATATACATTCACAGTAATTAACCCACAAAAACGTTATCGATAGGCAATGCTAGACGTTGCTGATAATAGATTAAATTTGACCGCTAGCGAGAAGGTGATAGTGACAAAGAAATCAGGCGAATGTTTAGAAAACTACGGTATCAATAATAGTATTTATTTTAATTCACTTTCTTTCGATTACATTTTCTGTTAAAAGGACAAATTTATGACATAGTACCATCCTGGACGTTATGTGCCACCATGACTTACGTGATTAATGTTGAAGTTTTAATTAAAAATTAGTTTTATGTGCATACAGTGTTTAATATATAGACATACGGATTGTGAAATGTGATTTGTGAAAAAGCAAACATGAGTTAATTAATCCCGTAATTGGCCTAAAATTACAAAATTCAAAACGAGTTGTAGAAAAAACTGGTTGGAAACAAATCTTCAGAAAGGAATCGAAAAAAAAAATCATACAGATGTGTAATATGAATTTTCTGTAAACACATTCTTATGCGTAATTTATGACGCGCTATCGACTACCCATAACGTACGGATGTGAAATAAAACTTTGCGACGTGCCATACACACGTATTGCACTTGATGTCACAATCATTCCTTCAAAACTTCCGTGGCTGCTGAATGTTGTTCACTGCCTTTTGAGGAACCTGCACCGCCGGTTTCTGGGCATGGGCCACCTGACTAGCTTCGACCGAGTGCTCGTTGTGTTTGTTGTTCGCAGCGTTCTGCACCACCTCGCCGGTATTCACGTTCGGCGCTGGATTCTGCAAGAGTGAAAGGGAATTCAAATAATTATTAGTTTAAAATGAAAATTATGCTTGTTTTTCTCTAAATCGTATGCAGTCTTTGCTAACACTAATGCTGCGGATACACTTGTAGGACAAGCTATGAGCATGAGCATTATTTGTATAATAAATCATGAGCACATCCATGGTCACACTTGTATAGTTGTTGTATAGTGCTCATAATTATTATACAAATAATGTGTATCCGCGGCTTAAATGTTCACATTGGGGCTTATTACGGATGTCACTTCACGGTGAAAACTTGTCACTTGTCGTCACGGTGAAGTGATTCCCATTTGATTTGTACGGCAATCACGGCTCGTATTATGAGTATCACTTCCTTATCACCGTGTAGTGACACCCGTAATAAGGCCCATTATCTCCTGGCGTAGGGTGCAATTTCCCATGCCCTTGATTCGGTCACGTGTTTTAAGATTTTCCGTCGTTATCAAGACATGGTCATTGATTCCCGCAAAACTGCATGTTTTATTATGCAAGCAAGACAAACCATAATATTTATTGGTTTACAAACCTATACATTTGAAGTGTTATGCATTTTGCACAATTTCTGACTACCTACAGTGCGAAAAATATGTGTACAGTATGTTTTTCGCACAGGTCATAAAATCGAAAAAACAGTATTCAAACAAGCAGTCTGTTAGGTATTTAACCGTAACCGAGTTTCATTCATCGACGAGAATTGATTGCCAATTGGTGGTTAATCAGCAATGCCATGGAGGCGATTTCCACAACTGGAACCTATCGAAAACAATGGTTCGGGACCAACGGCTTTACTTCTATTCCGAAGGAATACGTGACCAGAGATTTTTCCGCCTCAGAAAATCCAAACGACCCCTACTGGGGTGAGAAAGCAGTCTCGCTTACCACTCAACATCCGGTACTGTCTACAACAAAAAGTGTATTTCCATTATACAAAGAAAGGCATCAGGATGGCTACTAATTTCGCTAAATAAAATTTGCTGAGTTTTTCAGGAAAACGCGAAACAGCTCGTAATTGGCCGATTTGAAGTGCGTAAGATAGAGATAGAGATAGAGATAAATATAGATAGAGATAGATATAGATAGAGATAAAAGAGTAAGAAGCCAGTTGTCTCCTCTTCCTCTTAGCTCTATCTAGCACACGGAGATTAATGGAATGGATTCATTGTTTTCCCTAAGAGGAAGAAGAGACAATACGGGGGCGAAAACGAACCACTTTGCTGTCAAACGCGAACCAACTCGTGATTGGCCGATTTGAAATGCGTAAGATAGAGATAGAGATAGATATAGATAGAGATAAAAGAGTAAGAAGCCAGTTGTCTCCTCTTCCTCTTAGTGTTTTCCCGCTAATCTGTTTCCCTCTTGCTTGCACTTCTTCTTTAGATGTTGCAGTAGTGTGCGCCAAATAAACGTCGAAAATCTCTATAAACGAAACCCAGCGCCTATGTTCGGATAAACAGATCGTGCGTTCTAAATTTACCGCCTCTTCCTTTCCTAAGTTAATCTTATGGAACGTTTGGGACACATTCCATAAGAGTAACAAGGAAAAAAAATACATTTCAAATTCATGTTACACCATCTGTTTTCCGTTCTTCCTGGCAAGATGACACTCATTTTCCTCTTAGCCGCTCAGATTTTGGATCTCTGCGCGTTGCTCCATTTTCACTTTTTTCAAGTTAGATAAAGACATTTGAGAACACTGAAAATATCTTAATGACAGAAAGCATAGCCAAAGAACTCACGGTTGATTCAAAGGCCGTGCGGTGTTGTTATAAGTAGAGTGACAGAAAATCTCACGTGAGTTTTTATTATGACTCTAGCGAGATTTTTTTTTTAACATTTGAGATTGTAACGATTGATGTGTTGAGTGAGTTACCTTTGCATATCACTAGTGATAGCGGATCTATTGTGAAAGCAAATTGATATTTTTTTTATCATGAGTGGAAGAACACTGATATTAGCATCCAGTATTTTATGATCGCTTATGGTCGCCACATTCTGGCTGAGTTTCTGGTAGGGACCATAAGATTTGAAGTGTGGGTTGTGTCGTTTGACGTGTAAACGATCAAATTTGAACGTTTATACGTCGAACGACACAACCCAAACGTCAAATCATATGCTCCCTATCAAAAACTCAGCCAGATTGTGGCGGCGATAAGCACTCGTAAAATGCTGGATAGAGGTAACTCTAAGACCAGAAAGTCCCGAAGAAACGAGCTTAACTTTTTGGCTTAGCTCTGGTACTATCTTCGGTCCCAAGCTAATCGATGCACCCCTCGAAACATAGGAAAATCCACGAACCCCTCATTTTATCTGTCAAACTTTCATAGCGAATCAAAGCAAGCATAAGGTACACGGTAAGAAAAAAGTGCGCAACGGTCAGTTCACTTTTACCTACTTTTTTTTAGTTTGTCTCCTTTTCGCCTTCTAATGTTGTCAAAAACGGAGGAGCAAAACCACGCAACATAACGAATTTCATAGCGCCTCTCGAATGCTTCATGCTCCTTGTTCAGTATATGTAGCTGAACTGGCGGCAATACATTATACGCTAGAAATGATCGCCTCACTTGCACCAGATCATTATTTTATTTTTACGGATAATCTCAGTTCTGTCGAGGCTATTCGCTCCATGAGGCCGGTAAAGCACTCCTCGTATTTTCTCATGAAAATACGAGAGTTTCTAAGTGCTTTATCTTTAAGATCTTTTGTCATCACCTTTGCATGGGTCCCATCTCATTGCTCGATTCCGGGCAATGAGAAGGCGGACTCGCTTGCAAAGGTGGGCATAGCGGGCATAGGGAAGGCGATATTTACGATCGACAAATCGCCTACGACGAATTTTTCTTCATTTATCGTCAAGTCACTCGCCAGCTGGCAAAATAAATGGAGTGAAGGGAGTTTGGGACGATGGTTATATTCAATCATCCCTAAGGTGTCGAAGTGTCCTTGGTTCACAGGTTTGGAGGTGGGTCGAGACTTCATTCGTGTGATGTCTCGCCTCATGTCCAATCACTATTCGCTAAGCGATCACTTGTTTCGTGTTGGGCTGGGGGACAGTAATCTCTGTGAATGTGGACAAGGTTACCAGGACGCAGATCACATTATTTGGTCGTGTGCTGAGCACCGAGGAGTCAGATCCGAGTTGTACGATTCCCTTCGGGCTCGAGGTAGACAACCGAATGTCCCAGTTCGGGATATTTTGGCTAGGTGCGATCTGGAGTTTATGCAACTCATATATGTTTTCTTTAAGAATATTAACCATAGATTGTAAGTTTGATTAACCTTGTGTTTAGTTTGTATTTTGTGTGTGTGTTTAGTTTGTATTGTGTGTGTGTGTGTGTGTGTTTTTTTTTGTATATTTGTTTCTGTAATAAATGTATAATTACAGAGTTGATATAACGTCGATAGGATTAAGTATATGTTTATGTTTTCTCCTTTTCCCTCTCCCGATCCAAACAATTGTTATCCACTAACTCGAGAAGACCACAAGTAATCGGTCAAATCCTTTAATTTTAGATTTAAGACATTTATAATGTATAAAGTAAATGATAACTTGGCTCTGTAAAGTTTATTCGATTGAGCCTGTACAAATAAAGTAATTAACGAAAAAAAACCACGCAACAGGGGTAGTAAAGTGTGGGAACTCAACGTTGAGTATAATCATGTTTATCTATTTTTGGGTACAACTAACTTACTTTTGGGTAGAAACCTAGTGGAAAATTCCATACGAATTGCACCACAAGTACACAGAAAAAAAGTTGTTGAATATTACATCCAATCCGCTGCAAGCAGGTCAATCCATCGGTTGTGTAATATAACGTTGTACGATGTACATCGATTTTGCGAACAAAATAACATCCATTGACGTAATATTGTATCTGCTTTTTGCTATTACATCATTATTTCATACATAAGCTTGAATAACATTGATCGATATTACATTTTTTTTGCTGTGAAGTAAATTAAATTTACTTTGGCCCGCTTTACCCACTTATGGGTTCCTGCACCATGTGCACTATAGTCAACCGGTCAGCACTCGTGTTTATTTCAATTACCGTGGGGACGTAATTTGTGATTAGCCCCGGTCCCTTTCAAATCGTATCATTATTTATGTACGGTCCTTATATTTTAAATGACGTTTCACATTCATCTAGTGATGGCCGATTTTCATTCGAATAATCGATTAATCGATTAACGAACCGAAAAATAAAATATTTGTAATCGATTATATCATGCCGATATAAGCACCAGAGGATCATCACCAATCGTTTCAAACATGTGCTGCACTCTCATTGCTGGAAAAATGGCAGCACAACAAACAAAAAATAATCGATTAGTTGTTAATCGAGTAATTAAAAAATGGGACATCTCTGATTTTGGTGTGATTGTTTTGATAAAAATGAGCGAAAAATTTCATCTCTACCGAGGGGGCAGCAAAACCACAAAATAACCTTGAATACGGGGGGTATTCATTGGATGAAAGGGACCGTGAAAGAGGACACTAAAATAGAAAGTTTTTCTTCCGATAGTTTCATCTTAGTATTCATCTTTGCTATAGTGCCGAGATGAGTGAAAAGAACATATTTTTGGGTACTTTTTTCTTACCGTGTAGTACTGGAATTTATACAAGAATGGGATAGGTTAATCGATTTACTTGGGACCAATAGGCTAGTCAAGTAGTGAGCCAATTTAAAATCGTTAGTTTCGTATTGATTGTTGATATTAGTGCATGTAATCAGGAGTCCCATTCATCGCTCATGTCGTAGTGGAAATATTATCTTTTTGAATTGTCCATCTTTTCTCGCCATTGAACACTTTATATGGTTTGTAAGTTTTTAAGGTAGGGGAAATGACGGCTTCGGCATGCCAGACTATTTTCGGCAACCCAAATTGAAACATTATTTTCACTGGATTTTCTTACGAAAACACTTCGCTGAATGCATTCAAACGATTCTTTATGCTTTCAGCTTCAATTTGACTATATTTTTACCACTGAGAAAAAGCAATCTAGCAAGGTTTTCTTGAAATGAAACACACGCACTACAAATTGTAGCTGATTTCGAGTTGCCGATAATAGAACAGCAAATTTACATGCAGTTCAAATGGAACGGTTGCCGAAGAAAAACTGGTTGCCGACAATACTCGCTCTCACTAGAGAAGATTGGAGCTTTGTAAAAGCGTTTCAAAACAGTTTTTGACAATTCTTTCGACTGAAATTGTTAGAGCAGCTGGCAGCAAAAGATTGTAAACAAACCACTACTGCATGTGTGCGTTTCTTAGAGAAAAAAGCTATAGAAATAAGGTCGCTGCTTAGGTTGGCGAGAATACATAAATTCCCCTATTTGATATTGATTAACCACTCGTCTTAGTTATGAAATATTGATAGTAATGTCCATTTTAATTTCATTTTAAGGATGAGCGGTGACGGTAACCCTTGATCGTTGTTAGGTCTCCATTTACCGCTCATATGAATGTAAACAAAAGTAATTTTAGTAATTTACAAAAAGTAAACAATAAACGGTGAAATAAAAGTGCCAATGGCTTAATATGACCTGAAGGCATCTCAAACGAGTGAATTAGTCGATTAAACGCATGTTTAGAACACATTTTGTGAACTTTTTCAACAAATTATGACAAAATGAGCACCACACGGTACATCATTAAAAAAATGTGTCGACTTCATTTTCAAAATTATCTAATTTTGGTGCACTTTTAAAAAACGGTGAAATTCGAGTTTATACAACAGTTGTACACTAATAGAATTCCACACATTTTTATTGACGAATTTCCATGTAAAATTCCACATGATTTTCATGTGACCACACATAAACAGAATCCACCCAGAAGCACACATATCATTTGTTGATCACATTGGAAATATTAATGTGTGGGACACATAAAAACAATATTTGAAATTTAATCAGTGTACAATTTTCGACAGAAAGACTAGAAAGAATTTTTCTCAGAAAACTTCGAATTTCCTTTGATTATTTTTTTCGAAGTTTAACAAGTTTATATTTTCTAGAAAAATTCAAGTAAGTTATTATAGGAGAACTCTTGAAGTTCCTGTAATATTATAGACATAATTATTTCTTTGCCAAGAGTGGAATTTCATTCGAGTTTCGTTACGGTGGCCATCTACTGTGGCTTTCCCTTACTGGTTACAGTGGATTGATGTGTGGAACAAAGAAAAACACTGCATTAAACGATAAAGAAACGGTTAAATTTTTAATTTTTTGTCTTTAATTACTGCGAGCGAAAATTACAGAAATCTAGAGACAAATTACAATACATTAGGGTGAATTGTAATACATGTATTCTAGGCTAGGAAAGCTTTCAATTAACAACAAACTGAAAGCGTTCAGGACGTTGAGGGCAGCGTCTAGGTCCAGTTTGTACTTAATAGCCAAAGAAACTGATGTAAACAACCGATCATGAGAAACAATCAAGAGTAAGCTTTTCTAGCGCTCACACATGCAAAGTAACGACACTATCAGATAGAGGAATCTTTCCTCTACCAACTGGCGTCGTTAATTTGCAGGAGTAAGCTTTTATTTGCGATAAATCGGTGGCAGAAGTCATTGTTTACAAAAGCAGTTTCGCCCTAATGAAATGTTGGAACTGAAATAGATTATAGGAGCAAAAAAAACAAACGACGCAATTAACAATGGGTCCCGAAGATGCTAAAATACAGGAGCTTATTTCGCAGCAAATCACATATAGAGCTCACTACAACCCTAACACTGGGCAAACTATATAGCGACAAGAAGAAGAAAACAATACCCACCGATAAGCCGATGACTTCGACTGGATCCTTAGCTGGCCGCTCTGCATTCGGGGTCTTGTGCTGCACAATTCGCATTCCGCCGGCCTTGACTGCAAAGGCATTTGAAAGACGTATGATTAGTAGATGTTCTTCGTCTGCTTCTTCATTTATGCATGGACTCACATTTTCCATTGCAGGTGCTCACTGATTATCTGAACTGGAACACCAAGACATGGTTGAGTGCAACAAGGCGAAGTCGCCAACAAGATAATGTAGGTAGACTGAATTTACTTATTCCATATTTTTAACGTTTACATTCTTATATACGGTTGATTTTAAACATTTTCCGACGTTTGGCATTCCAGTTAGAAATCTTTGGTATCGTTTACACAAACAATAGATAATCAATACCGATTGCACTTACCTGCTGCTGGACGTCCAGCGACCAGTCCTTTGTCTTCATCAGCCATTTTCCTTACCACACTGAGTGATACTCTCGAACTCTTCCAAAAAGACTAATATTTCCACTTATGGCAACAACTACTAGGTAGCGACAACTATCCAACTACCGGATAACAATCACTGGAATAAGTTTGTATTACTTGACAAAACGAACAGCGCGATTCAGTTTGAAAATAAGTACTATTCTGACCGTGGCAGTAAAACCTCCACGATGGCAAATACACGGTACGATTACTATCTCGTACGAAAATATTTCCCTTGCACACAGCTTCACTCTTCCTTTGAGTGCTTATTATTGCGGCCTGGAACGGAAGAGCTGCGATGAAAACACACAAATCGATGTGTGTGATTGGTTGGAAGTCTGATTCCATTTATTTATCCACACAACGCGATAGGTCGATGCGTAAAGTTTATTGAAAAAAGATGTAGGTATATAAATTATGGCTAGATTAGATAAGTATACTATTCAACAGTAAATAATAATCAGTAAACAATATCTTGATATGTCTTGATAGGTTTATTAATTATACTGCTAGGTGGGATAGCATGTTAAATATAATTCGTGAACTAAAAGGAAAGCAGAATGTGATGACAACTGATTTAAAATACTAAATACCGTCTGTGCTAAGTTGCAGTGACTTACAGAAATTATCCTTATGTAAACATAAAAAAGAGCGAGTTAAACACAGTTAAATTTGTATCTACGACATGTCATTCTCAGATATAAAGTGAAACTGCAACGTGAAAATCTTTAAATCACTAATTCATTAACAAAACACCAACATAAGAAGAAAAATCTAAATAACTCGTCAACCGGGAAAAAATTCCCAGTGTTAGTAGGTATTATAATGATGAATGAAAGTTATGAATAAGAGCGCGCTAAAACTATTTAAATCTACTATGCTGCCGTTATATCCATAACTGTCCCATGTTATATGTAAATCTACGTAGAACGGCAGCATACCCAAGTAACATTGCAAGTTTTAACAAGGTTTTATAGCATTTTACAAGTCTACAGAGCCCCCATAAAACCCAAGTGTCAACCCAGTTTAAAACAACTATAAATACCGACTATTCAACTATACTTTACTTCCATATTGTGAAACGCTCATATACTTAAGGTCTTAAGTTATCACACATACTTTTCATAGTGGATGTCATGGATTTCAAGGGCTTTCACTGTGCCTTTTGTTTACGTGAGCCCAATGAATGTTACGAGTTGTTCTACATGGTAATTTGCCATAAAGTGTGCGTGTGCTATTTTCTGAGTGCAGGAATGTGCATTATGTTGTGCTTTACACATTTATTTAATTTATCACATAATAATACCACATCAAATAAAATAAAAAATAAGAAATCAGTGCCAACATTTCAAAGGGGCGTAATTGCTTTTGTAAACAATGACTTTAGCCGTCAATTTCTAGCGAATGAAATCTTACCTCTCCAAAATAACAATGCTAGCTGGTAGAAGAAACATTCCTCTACCTGCTGGTGTCATTATTTTTCATGAGTGATATTTTATTCGCGAAAAATCGACGGCTAAAGCCATTGTTTACAAATGCAATTACGCCCCTTTGAAATGTTGGCACTGAAATATCGAAAATCGAATGCCGAGTTTCAGTCAATGATTAATTAATTACACAGAAATTCAAAACAACCCAAAATTAAGTTCTTTTCACTCATCTCCCATGTTCCGTACGATAAGCCAAATTTGGGTAAACCGGCTCAAAGTAGTTTGCATTTAAGCACGGCAAAAAAAATTACCCATCGCTAAGTTATTTTCAATTTTTTCTACCCAAAATTAAGTTCAATTAACTCAAATTTGGGTATATCGCATATTACTTAATTTTGGCTTCTCGTACGGAACTAGACGGTTGAGTCGAATCTTTCGTTCTATTTTTGACAACAATAGCGAGAGGAAATGAAACGGGCAGAGGTCAAATAACTCAAATTTGAGTTTAAAAAACTCAAGCGGTGGGTAGTTTTGTTTTTCTGTGTACATATTGTTGAAATTTATACAAACAAAGATCTCATCAAGACCCACCGTCAAGGGTGTTGTTTTCATAAGAACATGTTTGAGTGTTAGTGACCAAAATACCAGCAAGTACTGCAGGTCAATACCACCGTAGCGCATCCAGCGCATCCGATATTGAGGGTGTGTTGTGTTTAGTTAACTCACGGTACTGATACCATCATCACATCACCGAATTTGACACGTGTTAAAATTGCGTTCTTAGTAAACTGTCGCGCAACACAATGTAACGTAGAGTAAGGTTGGACAAAAGTTCGATTTGAGGTTTCCGAAGCCCGTTCAAAATTAAATTCAATGTTTTGAAACTTGCTTGGGATGTCTTTTAAATTGGTGATGTTCTTGAAGAGTTACAGGCAAAAGTTTGTTTCGATATGATAAATTATAATATTTGTATCAACTTTAGGGGCGTAGATCATAAAAAACTCAATAGCGAAGGGGAAATTTTATTTCAGGACATGATTTCCTTTCTCTTGAAGATGTTTTTAGGGGTATTAGATTTTCTATAAGGGGGGGGGGGAGGGGGGGGGGGGGTAAGGGGCAAAAGTTCGATTCGTGCCTTAAACATATGTAATCATTCACAAATAGCTTGAAAGCATTTATTTACCGTCGTGGCGGGCTTCATTCAAACGATTGCATGTGTATCAACAACTTGTTACTGGGACTGCAGTTTACTACATCGTATAAAATCCTCAGCTAGTATCATTTAGCGCTTCCCAGAATTAAGTGAAAAAGTTTACTAACGAATTCTATAAAAAGTGAAACTTCCCTAAATCGTTGTTGAAACTTATAAAAACTTATAAAGCACCTATCGGGAGTCGATAATCATTCATACTACAAAAATAAGATTTATAAAGTTCGAAACATCTTGAAACAAAAATTATGAAAAATCAGGTTATATTTTATTTCATCATAATCGGGTTTGAGTATTTAAACAGTTGGAGATCCTTAGAACTTGATCAACCTGAAGTCTTGGAAAAATATCCAGAGAACTTTACTAATATCTTCGTCTTTATGGAGATCTTTTGAATATTTCCTGCTGTCTACGTAAGATGTCTGAAATAATATCCTGCAATGTTTCCTGAACATCTACAAAACTCCCTTAAGTTTTACAAAATTTCCTCAAACTCTACGAAGTTCCTTGAATTTATTTCTATTTCCATATTTTTTCCATCTTTTAATTTTACGAAGATTTCTGAACATCTTTGCACTTCTGGGAAGACATCTATCATCTAAAAATATTCTTGGACATCTGGAAAGTTCCTTGAAATTTAACAAACTTCCCACAACCTCCAAAAGTTTCATGGAGCTTTTTTGAAGTAAGATCTCTGATCAACTGCAACGGGAGTTTATTTACGCGCTGCAAGGTGCGTGAAAGAGCTCGGCACAATCGGTGTTGATGTTGGCTCGCTTGTAACTTTTTTTGTTGTGTTTTCGAAAGAAATTGATCGAAATTGTATCAAAAGTGCTTCTGAACGTATTTCGCAGTTGGGTGTGGTGAAATTCGTGAATTCTTGGTTTATGTTCAGTGAAAATTCCGTGTCACAAAATTGCTCACCGAGCGTCCTTTTTTGCCGTTCGACGACGACGGGTTTGCGAGAGAAAAATAAGCATCGGGAATTTGCTCCCGGATGTATTGATTTGGTGAGTACGTTCCAGTTGAAGATTGTTCTTATACATATCTCGATTGCATTTGCGGGCAGATGAGTTGGTCGCCGGTAAGGGCCAGTAAATGCTGCCAGCAGATGAATCAAGAGGTATTCGAAACAAAATTGATAAGAAATGTCCAGTCAAATCGGTTTAATACAGTTGAACAAATTTCAAAACTATATACGTACCAGATTTGGAAATAATATTTTTTGAATCTGGAAGTGTGTTTATGATACCATTATCCATTTGATAAAGGTAGAGTGAACATGCGGGGCTTATTGTAAGTAAAAGTGACCTCGGAGTGGTCGTGAATTACCAGGCATTCTGAAATGGGTCACTGGAGCTGCAATAGAGCTAACACCTTCTAACTCCCGGACTAAACCTGCTTTAATTTAAGGGTAATAAAAAGCAGTTTTCTTCCATAATAACACTGCCGGACAGTGGGGGTTAGATTGTACACACACACACACACACACACAGATCTCTGATCAACTGCAACGGTGGGCGTTGGCCAAATTTGGATTTTTCAGATATAATCCTAAATAGGACCTAGATTATTTAATACTCTAGTAACCTCAAGTCCGTGCTCTGTCACAATGTTTCATTGTGATTAATCAACACTCAAATGGGTAAAATATCAAATTTGGGGTGAATTTGAAAGAAAGGGAACTTGCACACAAAATCACGGCCTCCCTGTTCGGTAATTTTTTACTGGGTTTTTGAACAGCTGAAAAAGTCAGTAAACTTAAAAAAAATTGTAAAAAATTGTATAAAAGTGATTTTTTCTTGAAATTTATACAGACTGTGTTCTTATTACATTTATTTGATGATAAAAATAAAATATGTTAAAATTGTTCGTTGCATTACGTGTGACCGTTATTTTCAGTTTACTGACTTTTTCAGCTGTTTGAAAACCCAGTAAAAAATTACTGACCCCAGTGAAATAATCTCTGTGTGTGGAGTGTAGAGTGCACTGCCCACTGGACGATTCTGAAGCCTTGCCAAGTGAGTGGGGTATGGGTTTATTTGATTGAACGTCATTTCCAATGTATATATTGATACATTCAAACCATTGGCATTTGAGATAAGACAGAGATAGGATGCGGAGGGCCCGCTTAGGGGAAGCGTAACCCATGTTATGGTTTCCATTTATTAAATAGTTCAGATAGGCTGGAAATGACATGTTTATAGTGAGAAAAAGTCCCATATGGGGCCCGTTCACTGATCAAAATCAGATTCACATCGTCAGACCCTGTTCAAGAATAAGGGGATTGACGATGTCTTGTCAAGTTTTATTTTAAATTTGCGTTTTGCATTTAATACTCTAGTAAATCTCGCGTCCGTGCTCATTCACAACAGTGTGAGGTGTCAATACTCTGTCATATGTCTTAGACCAGTTCCA